AAGGCTTTTAGCTAGAAAAAGCACAGGAATAAAAAGAATAGATTAGTTAATAATTAATACACAAATTCTCCTTTACCTTGCCTCATAATTACCTTTGAAACGACCATATTAAACGATATCTGAAGATATCGGCATAGGATTTAGATCAACTGATAAAATTAGTCTAATCGTCCTCTCCCACCCATAGTCACGGTGCACACAAATTTTCCCAAATCCACGAAACTTCAACCCACCTGTGACAGTACATGTATCATGAATAAATTGATAATAGTAATATTTCTAATTATAAGAAATTTTAGAATTAGAAATACTCTGATAATTAAAAAATTTCAAAAACAATCATATTTCGAAAAATAGAATTCAAATCAAAGTTATTGATTTGTTATAAAACGATTGTTTAAACGAATTTATTGTTAATTAAATCCTTTATTAATTATTAGCAACGGTAATATATAGCGAAATGCTCTCTTTTTGTCTTAGATTTGCAAATAAACACATATAAAAAACTTTTTATTTATGCGTGTAGTTTGTGAGTCACTTAAATTGTTACTAAATGACATTTGTTGTTATGATATAATAATATTTCACATAAAAAGTTATCACATAAGCAGCAAATGAGTGATATTTGATCAATTAACATAATTTTGTGAGTTAAAAAATATTTTCAGATTGTATTAAGAATTTTATAATATCATTCATTATAATTATACACAATAACGAAAAGCAAAGTGTCTAGATACAAAGGATTTCTTTAGTTCAACAACACTATCTATTTAAAGATGTTTTCATAAAGCCGCTTCTCTATTTGAGGATATTGAATAAGCATTATTTACGGAAAATTGGATAAATATTACCATTAGGGTATTAAAATTTCTAAAATTTCTAAAATTCATATTTTACGTAATTAGCTAAAAAAAAAAACAAAGAAATTTATTAATAGATATATACATGTATTCAAAGTTTAAAAAAACACGATAAAAAAGAACTTACCAGGAAATTCGCCAATTTTACCATTGATTTTCCCTATCCACCAATCATTCGGCCCATCACCTATTTGCAAAACTTCAATCAAATCTCCTTTCTTAAATGATAGGTCTACATCTTCACGCGCTTCATAATCAAAAATGGCAATCACGTATTTTTTATGAATTGGTATCTCGACCATGTCATTAGGGGCTTTAGGGACTGAAGAAATTGGTCGGATTGCAGAAATTCTAGGTCGTCGATTAGAGCCTATCGCAAAAAACCCAGCTTTACTGTTCTTTCTTTTTCGAAGGCATAAAAATACGAAGCCTGCTAAAGCTACAAATAATACACTGCCGATGGAGATTCCAATAATTGCACCTGCTCCAAGTGAATTCTTTTTCTTGTTCCCTGAATTGCTAGAATTGCTAGAATCGCTATAGTATCCTCCTCCTGTCGTTCCACCGCCATTACTGGTTAATGAAACACTACTGCAGTCGTTCTCAGGAGCTATAATTGGTGTGTTTTGTCGCAATAATTGAATCACATCTAATAATTCATGCCCATTATCAGTGGTTAATTCCCAAAGCATCATTCCACGAAAACCTTGTTGTCGCGTGTAGTTAATTTTCACAGAAAGTGATTGCGGGTCATCATAAGAAATATACATCTTTGTGCTTGGATTGTATAACCAAGGGGTTTGAGTCACATTATCAAAAGTGCGAATCCACCCTTCGCTTGCTGTTAAAGTACATTTTAGAATTCCTTGTTGTCGTAGATTTCTCCAAAGCCATATGCCGGAAAATGCTGGCGTAACACTTAGACATGTAGGTGGTGACCAAAGTGCATCAATGATATCACCTTTTGGGATTGTTGGATCACGCTGTACATATTGAGAATCTGGTGTCATTGGTTGTAAAGCCGTTTGACTATGTCCAAGAAATTCCACGCCCATTACTATCTTTGAAGCAGGCATTCCAGCTTTTAGCCATGATGTTGCAGATTGAATAAACGAGAGCTGACGACCTTTTCCAGGCGTTGACGTAAACGGAGCATTCGGTCCGGTTAATTTTGTCCAATCTTCTCCTGATCCATCATCAACGCTAAGATCATATGCCTATTTAAAGTTTAATTAGACCAAGTCAATCAATAATCAAATAACGATAAAGACACAAGTATCTATTTTGGCTCACCATAATATTTATCCAATCAACAACGTTAGCAAATCCACTAACATCAGCAATAGGTCCATTTGGACCATCAAAAGTTTCGGCGCGAACAGCTAATGTTATCAATTTATCTTGACCTAAAGCCTCTCGTAATCCATTTAATAGCAATAGAAAATTACTAGTATCAGATTGACTGTTAACTACATTACACTGTAGGCTTTTCCTTCCAGGAAATTCCCAATCGATATCAACCTAATAAATATAATAGAAATTGCTTGATTTTATATATAAATTAAATGTTTTTCACCGAAAAAATAAAGAAATTAACTTACCCCATCTAGATTGTACTGTTTTATCATTGCAACTGTTGCACTGATAAATGCTGAGCGATTCTCTGCACTAGAGACCATCGTGCTAAACGATGCACTGCCTGTCCATCCACCAATTGCGATTGATACCTAATTGGGAGAAAAATTGTTATGGAATGTAATTTGATCAATTGAGAAATCCATTATTTGATATTTTATTACCTTAACATTTGATGCATGAGCATACCAAACTAACGTACTCAAGATTGATGCAGTCTGCAAATTTGGCACGAATCCATCGTTCAAGGTTGCGAATGCTAAATTAATTAAGAAATCGGTTACTTATAGAACTATATTTTTAAAGAACTCTCATGTAATTACCATAATTAATGTGTGTTAGTTTATCCCAAAATAAATTATTCACGGCCAACTGAGAAGATCTCCAATCTGGATAATAACCTACAATTACTTTATCAGAGGTCGAGGAATTATTCGAAATCCCAGATGTTCCGGATGTTGGTGTTGGTGTTGGTATTGGTATTGAGGTTGCTATTACACTCGAAGTTACTACACCATTTATACTTGTTGTAAGAGATTGACTTGGTGTATTAGAAGGTGGAATATTTTGATTTTGAGTAGACGTTATTATTATGTTTGTGGGTGCATTGCTGCTGCTACTGCTACTTGAAGGTAGAACATTTGAATCATCTGCTTTCACAGAAAGTAAGAGTTCATCATTTGGATTTATTATTGATATTAATAAAGTTAACAATATAAGATATGAAATTCCTCGTCTTCTCATTTTATTATTCGAGAATATGTTTGTTGTGATTCAAAGAAAGTAAAAAGTTGAAAGAAATGTAATGAATATATGCATTATAAATATAGTGTTATTTATGTAATAGAAGCATAAAGTTATAAGGAAAGAAGATGAATGTAATCTGCACTAAAAAGCAGCACAGCTAGCTACCTATAAAATAATAATGCTCGAGTTTCGAGAACTAATAAAAACACGAACCTGTAAAAGATCAACGTGCAGGATGTCGATCTCTTTGCCGCGTGTTTAACAAATAATACAGCGTCATTGGTGCATTTATGTTGTTTAATTAATTGAATCGTGCCTATTGCAACCACGAGAAAACAATACGTAACGTTTAAGGAAGACAATTTCTTTTCTCAAATTTGATAGGTTCGATTTTAAAAGTATAAAAACTCGTGAATTTTATCACAATACAGTATCGTAAAATTTATCCATACTCACTCACTATGTGATAATAATTTGTGATATGGTGGTCATTTATCAAGATGGTTTGACGTAAAGTTTTTGCGGCAATTTCAATTTTCAGGAGATTGATAGTCATAGTTTCGGTGGCTTTAATATAAGTTTCTGAGAATGGTTGTGTGATATCGAAAATGAAAAATTAATTAAAAATTGACTTAAATACGTAAATGTGATTTTACATCATAAATTTACAATCAGAGTTTTTCTAAAAATTTTGGATCTCAGGCTTTCTAATTCGAGGATGCCGTTTCTTAGATACTCAGTCTTGTTTACGAGTCCAACATACATTGGAATTCAGCAAATTCGCAGAAGGTAGTTAAAATTAAAACATTTATCTTCTTTGTTTGATAATAAGCTATAATGTTACCGTAGTATAAATACATGTACCTTAGTAACCATAAATTCCGTAATTCCTCTAAACGTTCAATAATGTTTTTGCAACAGTTAAGCGTATAATGACTATCATTAACATAATAATTACTTGACGCTTCGAGAACGTAACTATACCAAACTCGGATTCTTTATGGACATTACACAATTCTTTTAACGTTAACCTTTTTCTTCGATTTCCTTAACATGCTAATTGCAACATAGTCGGGAATACATGTAATTAACGATTGAAACCGCATCATAATCACATTCATAATTACACCATCACTTTTCGCAACTTCATAACAATCAATGTTTAACACCTACTTTGTCGTTACACCCATAAAATAATCAATTAATATTTAACACTGATTTTCCTAACCGTCATAATTGATAACGAATTGTGATTATTGCTTTCGCAATCATTCACTGTGTAATTGCCATTATCAGTGCTGTAATAGTTAATCTTTCCGAGATTAACAAACACCCGACAATAATCTTTCTAAAAGTCTTTTTTTCATAGGATTTTTCCAGAGTTTACGAATGTCTTCAATTATATTAGTGAAGCACCGAACAATAGACCGCAATATAGTTCTGAAACAACATCAGGGAAAGAAGTAGTTTAGAAACAATGTGACACGATCATAAATAGATATCACCATAAATCCTCATATGCATATAAAGGCGAGTTCTTGGCCGCCCAACAAGTACAGTACAACTAAAAATAAAAATAAAGATATTAATTTGTGAAAACTCTTTTTTTTGCAAATATCTTATTGTTGTTACTTTAAAATCTTTCGTACAAGTGGGCTTTTATTTCTTTGTGCCTAACATAAATTGATAGTGGAAGAACTCCACTCTAAATAAGCCATATCCCTCTTTTGTATTTCGTTATGTTGACGTTGGATAAGCCCAACCGTTAATTTGCTTAATAATTTATTGAATTTGTTTTGTGTCTTATTCTTTTTATTGTAGTTTGTTGGCCGCGTCAATAAGTCTAACCCCTTTTTTTATTATTGTTGATAGTGAACATAAACTACCCATAGTCCACAGGAATTTCGTGAATTATTAAGTCTTGCCCAAATGCACTTCGAACAAACTATCATAGGCCCTTTTATCCTTTCAAATAGTAGTCTTCGTAAAAACTACTGCAGGAAACCTTTAGGACAACTAGAGAACCGCCTCTTTTGGTAGATCATTCAGTCCAAACTTCCCATCATTGTGTTGCGCCTTTACTTTCTCTAGATTCAATATCTTTAGGAAATAGCGTAACAATAAATAGCATATATTAGATAAGAAAGCGTCTTTATAAGGCGAAAATCAAAGCTTATCGATAACGTGACATGAAACGATGCTTCATTTTAAAAATAAATATTATTTTTTATGTTGCAGTCTTTAAAACTTTCCTGCTAATTGTCGTATGGCTGTAAGAGTTTTATTCTTCTCAGTAACAGAAGACATAAACGAAAACTCTGCTCTGGCTTGGATTACGTGTTAGATCAAATGAATCTTTTCATTTAAATGATTCTCAAATTCAATGCTTGTTTTGTAAGCGTTTTAAGCTTTCTCGCTGAATTTGCTGGTCTCACTTTCAGTAGAGTAGAAAACCTGGCTTTATCTGGAAAAGAAAATAAAAATTACAATATTCTTTTACGCCATTAGATTTTTATTACGTTTAAAGGCCAGTCAACTATTATTCGGAGAGGAATAATTTATTCACTTATCGTTACGGTGCTAAATTCATAGCTGGTCCCGTTTCGGCTCAACCTATTTCATATATATGTTACTTGGCATCTGTCAATATCTATTTGCGACATTACTCGCACTAATGATTTTGAGAAGTGCTAAAAAAAAATTAAACAACATTCCACTGAGGAAATCGATATTCTCGAAACTACGATGAGAAAATCTAACTATATAGATATATTAACTAAATTGATAGATATAAATCAAATAATGCAATCCTACTCTTTGACAACCACAACTAATTAAACGCTTGATATTTTGAACATAACTGATGACATCTTTTTGCGAAAGTACAGCTCCAAGTACAGCATCAGTATATAAATAGAATTTCTTCGTAAAGCCCGGATAAATTAGAATAGGAGCCATTATAAGTTTTTATTTCAATTGTTGGAATGAATATTATGTGAAAGTAATTTGATATTAGTCAGATCTTGAAGACAATAGGTGATTGTGCGAATATTGGTGTGGTGCAAATACATAGGTGACGTTCACATTCCGACAACCCCAATTCCGACAATTCATAAGCCCGACAAATGAAACTCCGAATGCACAAAATTCCAAATGCATGAAATGTCAAAATCACGATATCGGTATTTCGTGCATTTAGGATTTCGTTTGTCGGGCTCATGAATCGTCGGGATTATGATTTTCGGGATGTCATGTGTTAAAAACAGCAACGTTTTATACGTGCTATAGACACAACTCATAACGAGAATCAAATACTTTATAAAGTGAACTCAAAGATAAAATCGAATACTCACGATTGTAGTAGCTGTATTGATTTTCAATTTTCATAAAGATATTAACAGTCTAATAAAAAAATTAATGGATCCCATTTGAAAGCTATATCAATGTTGGATGTCTTGTTAAAGCAACCTGCATTGTGAAGGAAATAAATTAAATAACTTTTGAACATAATTATCATTTCGGAATTTATGTTCTAATATAATCAAGGTTTTTCAAAAATTTAAAATGCAGCGATACTGTAACCCAAATTGAATAAAGACCCGTCCGTAATTCGTCAAAATTAGAAGACCGCTTGCATCACGTAATCTTGGACAGCGGAATTCTATCGAAAAACACAAAATATCTCGTAATTTCGCTTTCACGCTCTCCTCCGAAGCTCCATTTGGGAGCTCTATCGTAAAATCTATTTTTCTTTGTTTAATTTTTTATTATTTTTTATTATCTCGAATTCTATCGTAAACAATAGAACGCATGTGAAAAAAACTTTAATAATGTAACTTTAATAATAGTTAAATGAAAAAATTTGTATAAAACGGAATTCTTAAAAATTTAAATAAAATAATTAGCCTTTAAAAAAAATCTATAATCAATCAAATAATAATTCCTTTAGTTCATTGCTTATTGTTAAATAAACGCTTACCGAAAATCGCGTACGATTCACTTTCCTCTAATTATAACTGATACTTTGTTAGTTGGTTAGGACCTTTACGCCAGAAAAGGTGCTGTCATTGATGGACAGGACTTTAATCCAGAAAAGGCAACGTAATTGTGAAACGGAAAGCTTAAGGCTTTTATCTAGAAAAAGCAATTGTTAAGATTAAAAATGGATTAGTAGAGAACATCGACCAAGCTACATACCATTCTGATCCACACATTCACTATATCAAACGATATCCATAGATATCGGCACAGGAACCAGAACTATCCATCACTGCACAACCATACTCTCCCAAACCCATATAATCCAAAGATCCGCGTTTAACTCATATTAATTCTCCTACGTAACAATATTTTGATTCAGTAAATTAAAGTTACTTTGGAATAATGGCTTGTGTAAAAGGGCAATTTTTGCAAATATATTAATTTCAGCTATGAAAAGTTGACTTGGGAAAATAATTAAAGCATTTATATGAAATTATCGTAAAATTTCATTATAAAGTTATTAATATCTAAATCGAGTAAATTTTGCTCGACATTATCTTTAACGTTATCATTTATAGACACACTTTCTTCTAATGTTCCTCTTTTGATATTAACTTATTTGTTGGTAAAAGACTTGACATCTCTTCGTACTTTTCATATGGTATACTAGTATCGAAATCTAGTTTGAATCACCAAAGGAAAAATGAACTAGTGAAATAAATAAAAGATAATATCGGTATTTAATAGCGGTAATTATTTTACCTTTTGCTTGGACATATAAATTGACATTTGTATTATTTAACGTTAAGATAAATTTTAAATTAATATGAAATGACACCTTGATAGAACTACAAAATAAATAACTGTATGTACCTGTTTCGTTTGGTGTGGAAATTAATTAGTTCTTTGGTAAAGGTTCGACTGGTATAAATTGCATTTAAGTGAATTTTTTGTTTTTTGCTTATCTTCGTATTAGTGTTTTGCCAGTGCTCTTTTATCTTCTGCTTTACTAATTC